TCCAATCCCCTTCAATTACTGCGGTCCTGCGACTCCCTTTTTCCATGTCGATATAGGGAGCACTGGCTATCGGTACGTCCGTTTACGATGCCAAGCTCTTCATACTCGATCACCTTAATTTTAGCGAAAAGCGAAAGCTCCTTGATGCTGAAGGCTGGGCTCGGAAGCATCCTTCGTAGTGTGCAGCTTTCAGTAAGGTATACTGCTTTTCACTGTGACCATCGTCTAACAATTGTCTAGTCAGAACCAGTAAAACGACGATAGCGCACCCAAAGCTCTCGCCTCATTGCGTCGACATCGAACATCCCAAGGCTGGCGGGCATGGCTTCCGTTTGTTCAAGCTCGTGCGAAGGTCACCGATGCAAGTGTGGGAGCTATGAGCCACTACACTATCCACATGCTGTCCATGAGTATCAAAAATAAAACTGTGGGTGCATCTTCAATTCATTCTGGAAATCCAACGTCTTCCTAATTCCTGATTAGGATAGTCCTGACATCGTTTTACTGATATTTTGCGGTCGATGAGCTTTTCCTTGGCTGGGGATGTGATCTAAGACGATCGCAGGAGGGGGGTCGAATTGCAGCCGAACTCGCCAAGTGGATCATCCGTACGTCCTGATACGTTCCTCTTGCTCTCTTATGCTGATCTCTTGCAGATACTTGACACTCTGACGAAGGAAGCTTCGTTGCGTATACTACTTACGATGTTCTGGACCCTGGTTCTTAGGCTCTCTGACCTTTTGCGATGAGTGTACAGACGCGATTCCACCCTCTGTCTGCTTTCTCCAACCTGGCGTATGATAGGACTCGGCTCGAAGAATGCATCTGCATTGGATCCTACCGCTCGGAGCTGTTCAGTATGAACTAGGTGTAATGAGGGGAAACTTCAATGAGGGTTTGTCCTTGCTCCTTATATTCAAACGAACACCGTATTAACAGATATCTACCCAGATCTGAAAGAACGGGAAAGGACGCTCGCAGCATAGTCATAGCGGCGCACAACCTTGATCGCCGTTATGACAGCTTCTGAGAAAGATAATGGTGGAACATTATAATTAGGTTGCTGTCTGTTCGGAACTTATGGCTGGTTTTGCTATCTCGTCTTGCTACGGCTAACCAGATAGCATTCACAGATAAAACAAGTAAAACTCTTTTCGCCAACTGTAGTACGAGGCCGTGAAATGACATCATCCCTCGCCGAGGTCGACACAAAGTTCCAAACTAGTGCGTTATAACACCCCCCTCACGATTCAAACTCAGAACATCATACACCCTTGAGAAGTTGTGTTTCCCCTGTCTCCTTCATGAAGTACATCGCAATTCTAGCTCTCACCCCCTCACAATGACATCGTCCAGGACGGAATACGCGCACGGATCTAGAGATGCGATAAGCGTGGCTGTGGTGACGGCATCGTGACGCGTAGAGCAATCTGGCGGGGTGAACAAATTAGTGTCTACGGAAGGGTGACGACAGCAATGCCCATACTGAAAGTGGACCGTGTGTCCTCTTTGAACCTGGGAGCGGGCCAGATGACCTTTCTTTGCCGGAGAAAGCTGGGCAATGTAGTCTTGGTACAGACAGTCTGGAGAGCGTTGCAGAGCGTCACGCAAAGAGACATCGGGTGGCTGTTACTCTCTCTCCCAACACATGCTCCCTGGTCAAACCGACGTCAACTAGGGAGGAGACGTTTCTTTGTGACGTGGAACGAACGTTGGAATAGTGGAGGCGTCAGACTTTATTCCTCTCATATGGTGTGGTCGTTACACGCGGCATTTGTAGGGAATTTTCCTTTGCTTCTCTTCAAAATGGTCAAGGAATGAAGTAGCCGTGAGTCGTACCCATGCCCTTCTCTGATGTCAGAGCTAATAACCATCTTTCTTTCCAGACCATATCCAGAAATCCTCGCTTCAATCGTTCAACGCCTCTCAGTACTGGTGCTCTCGCTTTTGGAATTGTGGAGCATACGCAAAGGAAACAGCGAGGATCAAAAAGGAGCCACCAGCACAAAGCTATCGGCGCTAATCAATGGTACACTGCACGGGATTCCGTAACTTCCAATCTAAGGACCAGAGATCAACATCGATCTATGTCTGCAGTACAATCGAAATGAAAAAGCTCGATGACGGGGAGGAGGATGGCGGCCAGCAGAGGGCTGCGCTAGGTAGAGGCCAATGCATGGAGGGTAGGGATGAAAGTAGGCTCCCGACAGACGACGACGACAGTATCCGTATAGAACGATATACCTAAAGGCGCGGCTGACGATAACGCTGCTACTATTTCCAAAACACCGTCTCCCATCCGCGCTATTTTACATGGCCATTCTTCCACCGTGACCTTGGAACCCACAGATAAATGTCTGTTTTTTTAACCTTATGCCAGCAGACAGACTGCATTTCAATCCCCTTCAATTACTGTAGTCATGCGGTCGGTTCCACTCCCCTTTCCGGTGTTGGTACGGAGCACTGGCTGTCGGTGCGTCCGTTTACGATGTCAAGCTCTCTTCATACTCAGTCACCTTGTTTACAGCGAAAGGTGAAAGTTCTTTGGATGTTACGACGGGTTGAGCATTCCCGGGAGAGGACAACTTTCAGTAAGGTTTACAGCTTCTCACTGTGACATTTGTCTAACAGTGTCTAGTCCGTACCGGTTAGCACACTCAAAGGCCCTCGCCTGATTGCGTCGACGTTGAACCTCCCAACGCTGCCAGTGCTTCCCCGCTCAGTTGTGTCACGGACCATCAACTCGTGCAGTATGCCCTAGGGGGTATGGTTTCCGTGGTCGCGTCAAGTTATAATGCATGCACTGCTCATCTCGAGCAATACAGCAATACTGTACGCACGCGAGTAACAACTACATTGCACGCTCGAAGATGCGCAACGACCCGATATCATTGCGTGTACCAACATGTGATGATACTTTCGTCAACGGGTAGGGATCCCCTTGAGCATGAATGCCAAGGCATGTTGTGGCACGCCATGGCCTGAATAAAATGAGGCGTGGCAATTGGTTGTATGCACCGGCAGGGTGCCAGGTACCGGCCTTGACCAGGACGGGTGGTCTGAAGACTGCAGACGCGTCAATACCTCGTCAGTCCGACTGCTGTTGTCACATGTCTATAGTCTCCCGGCGTCAATTGACGCGAACGTTTCTAGGAATGAAAATGACCATCGACGCTGGCATTGCCAGTTCCGGCAAATTCCGGCATTTGATGGCATCATATTTTCGGATCTAGAATGCATCGTGGTCGTATCTCTTTCATGTCTTTCGTGGGATCATCGATCAAGCTTGGACGAGGCTCAAGGAGCACTGGTGCAAGTATGGGAGATTATCATCGTGCAAACGCATTGTTCGTCCCGAGTTACACGGCAAGACCGTGTGTACGCGAGTAACCAGTACGTCGCACGCTTCAAGAAGGTTCACATGTATAATCGCGTATGCCAACGTGCACTGAGTCTTTCGTCCACGGATAGAGACCCCGCGGAGCATGTGTGTGGAATGTCGTGCAAGGATAAAACGAAGCGTGGATTAATGCTGGAGGAATTTGGGAGGAATGGTCACTATGCACTCCGAAAGGGGTAAACCTGTGTATCGACCGTAACCGGGACCGATGATCTCTGAAGATGCGAAATCTCGATTTCAACCTTGCTGATCTTTGTCGTAGCGTAGCCGGAACCAGTCTCGGATGTGATGATGGTTGTCTTTTCCCAGCCCCACCGCATCGGGTCTGGCGAAATGGAATTATGTTCTTTTCTGTCCTTGCATTCGAATTCTCTTATCACCATCCGACGGTATAAGCTATCATGGGTATCAGGTCGCCATGAGAGATAAAAAGTATGCGAGTGTCTACAATTCGTTCTGAAAATTTAACTTCTTGCTAAGGCCTCGTTGTTTAGGACATTCCTGATATCGTTTGGTTGAGATTTTGCAGTCCGAGCATTTTCTTTGCTGGGGATACGATCTGAGATGATCAAAAGAAGGAGGGGTGCACATGGTATTGCCGCCCTAACCGGTAACGTCCTGGCCCACCAACCTTTGTCATATGGATCACGATTGCGTGCACGAGTGTGGAAGCTTATCATCGCACAAAGTTTCAACGCACGCATTTTGTTCGCACCGAGCTACACTGCAGATCATGCGTACGTGCGTTCCAAGAAGACAGACGCTATCCACTGGTGCGAGGACAGGAACCACCCTAAGTATGAATACAAGACGTGCCAAGGAGAAGAAGCTTGATGGATGGCTCTGTGATACAATGAATGGAGGGGACATGGGTCATTGAGGTAATTCCGGGCCTTTTTTGTTCGCCGCACGCTCTATAACGACGTTTGGTCAGGAATTGAAACGTATGAGGAGCAATACCAACTTTTACCGGTAGTCTGAGGAAGAACGCAGATGCATCAACTTGACGTTCAAGAGGGAAGCCAGGGTCTTTCAAATCGTAAGGCAACCGCGTGACCAACCAGGCACTTTAATATTAGTAGTCATTTAGGCTATTAAGCTGGACGCCGCCGCTTAGGGTGGTACGTGTCAAGAATTATACTACATAAATATAAAATTGCCGTACTAAAGCTGGATGACTCGCCCTAGGCCAAGCCTTTTATACCTGATACCAAAGGCGCTCGTATTTATGGTCCCCAGCAAGGACCGGTGTCTGGGAATATGACTGATTTAGAAGATGGGTGAGTTCAATATACGTTACTTCCTTCTTCTTCCAAACGCCCGATTTCAGCACATCGACGAGTATCTTGGTGAAAATCCCATGGTAACCCTCCGCCCCTTTGGTCTCCTTCGCATACTGATAATCCCTACACGCCACCAGAACAACGTAAGAACCTATTTCGGGTTCCCAATCTTTGGATAATATGGATCGGTAGTGAGGTAAATGTTTCAGCCCGTCGTCCGCAATGCGGAGCATATCGTTGACGTCTGAATGAAAGGTTGGCCGTGTCGTGCGTATCGCTGAATCTCCACCATGTCGTTCAAAACTTGTAGCATAACAGCAATCCGTAAAGAGCGTGATATGATGTCCCTTCGCCCGTGATATATGTGTGAACAGAGTGCTGAGCTCTCTGTCGCAGATGTCTGGTATCCAGTGTCCATCAGAGTCCATGCTGTCGCGATCGATGGGGCAGAGAGCTTCGATGGGACAGGCACCTGTCTGGCATTCAGGTTCTTCTGTGGAAAAATGCTCTGAGCAGTAGTAGCTCGCCCCGTGTCCGGCATAATAGATGATGATATTGTCTCCCCACTGAATTTGAGGGTTGGTAATGAGACTCTGGAGTGTGTTTACGATGTTGGCACGGGAAGGTGTTAAAGAATTGCCAAGGATGGGATTTCGTGCGCCAAGGAGACACTGGACTCGATCTTCTGGCACGCCGACGTCTTTGATCAGCGCTTTCTTCATTAACAGTGCGTCCGATACACACCCGTGCAGGGGGTTAGACTCGTATGTATCGATACCAATGAGGACAGCCCAAAAGCGAGACGTGCCGACGTGGTGCTCGGTCTAGGCCAACTAAGATCAGCAACAAAGGTCAGACGTTAGGGACAGTGCGCTCACAACTGATGCCAGGGTAGGCTCAGGATGAGGCGCAGGGAGATTACGACGGACCTCGTAAAGCCGTTTCAATTGCTTTACATCGTCTGAGTTCCTTGATGCCGATTTGAACTTGAATATTTGAAGGAAACCCCGGACAATGCTGCACAAACGTCCCCACGGTGACCTAGCCCGCCTTTGTGCTTCTTGTAAGACTGCCACAGAGTCGATACCTGTAGGAGATGTCGATAGGATCCCAAACTTCTGCGCTAGTCGCCTCTCTAGAGCCTCCAGTTTCTGGATGTCTGGATGTTGAGATACTGCCTATGCCGTGAATTCTGATGAGAGGGGAGCTACAGCATCCACAATGCGAACACGTACGGGGGAAGTGCTGCCCTGGGGGTCTACCGGCGGTCCTGGTGAAGCTGGCTGTGTCTGACGGTCTGGATTGCGGTCTGCCTGTAAATTGGTTCGAGATCATGAGGAACAATGCGAATGGCGACAAGGAGACATACACTCCGGTGGAGGACCGAGAGGAAAGACATTTTGCCAATTGAAGAACTTGAAGAGTCCCCAGCCGTTGACGGTGCGTGTAAGAGAGCTAGCGCATGGGGGTCTCGCGCTGGAGCCTCGCATTGGGATATGCTGTCATCAGTCCCGGAGCATCCGCAGAATCGCCTGATGAATCATGTATATTAGAGAAACTCGATACATGCGCCATTCCTCATAATATTATAAATATGCTCCTGTATCAGTGTACACATTTACAGAATCACAGTGTCAGGCCAAAGCTGATTTCCCCATGGCTGTGTTTTCTCCCAGTTTCCAACACCCGAGACCCGGTCAGTAACTCGGCTGGAAGCCGCCTCCGAAGGTACTTAAACGTTTTCGTGTCGTTGTGTCAGTGCCAAATACAAATAAGCTCACGCGTTGTGTCACGGAGAAAATACCCTAATTTGACCTGAATTCCATTACAGTCCCGAAAATCCTTCCGAAAGATTCTGGATTATTCAAGCTGAATTGACATTGCTAATCTACCATTTAGACGAAACAGTGGGTAGAAAAAGTAATAGCTTCACCGGCTGGAGCGGCAATGGTGATTGAAAACTACGAAAATTTATGACTTCTATTGACGCAAGTTTGAAGGAAGTCATTTATGACACCTTCGTCTAAAGAACAGGCTTCAATTCAAGTTTGATCCATCGGCCGAAAGACCAGGCCGGCTTAAAATAGTTCGATATGACTAAACTGTCTAAACAAGGGGTCTTCAGATATTCCGAATGCTAGATAGCTATGGACACAAAGTATATCCCCTGATTGACAAACAGGACTCGCTGATGCGGATAACATACATTCAAGAAGGCTTTGAATTGTCCCTGGAATGTAAGATATCATATTTCAATCCAGTGTGCCGTAAACGAGTTCTGAAAGTGTTAGCGACCGATTACACAAACAAGATCAAACAACTAAGCGTGACTCGCACTTTGGTCAGGCGCTTTATGTTGCTCGCAGGTTTGCGTGCAGGGAGCTTCCGCTTAGTTTAGCGAGAGTGAGTTCAGACTAAGTTATCAGGTGAATAAACTTTAGTTCGAGACTGAGGTTTAAGACCTGCAGTCGAGCTACTTAAATACAGTTTGGGTCGTGCTAAATATACTACAACTGTCCGCAACGGTGCATTAAACACACTGAACCCTCATGGTGTAATGCGATCAAGTCCAGAATGTTAGCATAGCAGGATTACGAGGAAGCCGATAAGATAAGATAGAGTGCAAAATCATAATATTACCCCCCTGTTAAGGCAGTCGTCCCGACTGCAGTGTAACTTGGCTTTGGAAGGTACGCTCCTACGAGAGAGGGTGTGTTTGGTTTTACCAGGTATTCTTGGATTGCCTGTACCAATGGGTGGTCGACTTCTGATTCGGTTACCGACTCTGTTTCTGACCAAGAGTCAGATTTGTCATTGTTTTCCCACCAGTCCATGGGTGGGCGAGTGATGAACGAGACTTGTTCAAAGTCTTCGATCGCATCTCGGGCGTTATCCAACTCTTGTTCGTCTACCCAGGAGTTTTCTTCCCTCAGATATCCTTTCCATTTTACGAGGTACTCGATTCCGGTACTTCGTCTTCTTCCTCTTCCTTGGGGGGCTCTTTCTCTTCGGTCTACTATTTCTTCTACTTCGTACTCTTCTTGTCCATCTATGAGATCCGGAGGTGGAGCTGTGGGTTGTATTTGGATGGGGAATTCCGGCGGTCGGTATGGGGTAAGTAGGTTTTCATTGAAACGATCATGGATTTTCCAGGACGAAGGGAGACGTAATTTGTATGCTGACGCGCCATGCTTGGACAGTACTTCGAATGGCCCAACTCGTTTGTCTCCTAGTTTTTTCATTGGTCTAGGGAGGTGTAAGTTGGTGGAGTCCAACCACACCTTGTCTCCGGGTTGGTACTCTATTGCCTCTTGTTGATGTTTGTCGTACTGCCGTTTCATGGTTTTGGCGGCCTTTTCTAGTGCTTTGGCGGTTTGTTCATGTACCTTTTGTATGTCCGCTACAAAGTCCCTGGCCACTGGGTTCGTTCCTTCCCGTACCATGAGTGGGGCGAGATGGGGCTTTTGTCTGTGGTTTACTTCGAAGGGGGAGTATCCGGTGGCGGAGTGCTTCCGATTGTTGTGTTGGAAGGCTGCAAGTGGTAACCATTCGCTCCAGTCACTTTGTCTGTGATTGATAAATATTCGGAGGTATTTTTCAATCTCCTGATTCGCTCGCTCCGTTTGTCCATCGGTTTGCGGATGATAGGCCATGGATGGGTTTCCTTGGATGTGTAACATTTCGTACAACTCCTTCATGAATTTGAACACGAATTGAGGTCCCCTGTCCGAGATCACCTTCTGGGGCATTCCGTGCTTGGCCCATACATGATCTCTGAGAATCTTGGCCCACCCTGCAGAGGTTAAGTTGGTGGAACATGGCACTGGGATTACTTCTTTAGAAAATCGATCCACTATCATGAGGATGGCGTTGTACCTGTTGGAATCAGGTAATTCGCCTATCATGTCGACCGTGATGTGTTCCCATGGTCGAGAAGGCACCGCGTGAGGGTGTAAGGGTGCTCTTTTCTTTTGAGTGTTCGTTTTCGTTCTCTGGCAGGCCTCGCATCCCTTCACGTACTTTTCTACATCTTGCTTCAATTTCGGCCACCAATAATTACGTTGCACGAGTTCTTTGGTCTTTTCAATTCCCGGATGTCCTGCTGTAATGTGATCATGATGAGTGGCTATGAGCTCCCCTCGTAGTTTGGTGTCTCGGGGAACGTACAGCCGTCCATCATAGTACATTAGACCTTCTTGTTGGGTGATTCCTCTGGGATGATGAAGAGAGGCCTCTATTCCCTTGTCCCACCGGGTTACGTCGCGTAAGGCGGTCCGTATCCTTTTGTGGACCTCCTCTTCACTTGGCATGATGAGTGCTCGGAACATTTCCGGTTTTAGGATGACCATCTCAATATTATCGTTGCTTCCTTGGTCGTGGTCTGCTCTCCTGGATAATAGATCTGCCTTTTTGTTTGCTGTTCCTGGTTTGTGGTGGAGAGTAAAATGGTACTCCACAAGCTCCGTCACCCATCGAGCTTGTCGACGGTTGAGTTTCTGAGGTTTTCGGAAGTATTGGAGATTTTGATGATCTGTCCAGATCTCGAAATCCTGATATGCTCCCATGAGGTAATGCCTCCAGTCTTCCAGGGCTAGCATGATGGCTAAGAGCTCTTTGTCGTATATTTCGTAGTTGTGCTCCGTAACCGTTAGGGCCTTAGATAGGAAGGCTACCGGTCTCCACTTTCCTTCCTGCTCCTGTGAAAGACT